TTCACGGTTTTTGACAGATGAGCTGTCTGTGTTATATCTGTTTGACGACAACGTAGATGAGGAAAGTAAAGTAAAAATTGTTGAGAAAAAAATTAGTTACTAACATGATAACAGAGATATTAAACACAAGTCATTCAAGCAGGTCCATACAATTAGGCCATAGACATTCTTTCCCTGCCCTACTGGTAGTCGATTTGGCCACATCGCTTCTTCCTGATACCTAACCTGGTCAGACGCGGCAGAAATACCAGAGCAGAGTATCTAAAACATTTCTCATTCCAGGTCTTTCTTAAGTTTTAAGGGCAAATATACGGAGAAATTTAAGATGTGTGCAATATGTCTAATAGGTGCGTATAATTAAAGAGGTTGGGAGCTTATAAATACACTAACCTCAAAAAATTGAGATATACCCCCTACAACCCCTTCCCCACTCCCAAATTTCTTACCTCTAAATAATTTTTTCAAAATATAAGGAACGTCGAGAAACAAGTGATTAGCGATGTTTATTTTTGTCTATTTTAGCCTTTTTCCCCACCGCCACTGAACCGATTTTCAAAAACAATGAAGCTTTTTCACCCTGTCATATAATACATGTAGTAGTAACCTTGTGTAGACATGTTATCAAAATCTGAACAGTTCTTTCCAAGTTATAGAGGAGTCAAGGATTAGCGGATAGACCGACAGACAGAACGACAAAGACACTGTCAGAAATGAGTGACATGGTTTTTTCGTGATGTACATGTATATGACATGCAAGATCCAAAATATAGTATCTCATTTTCAAAAAACGTTTCGATTAGAATATTTCCTCGCGGTTGGGCGTTGGACATAAAATTGATACCAAAGCCTTTTTAGGTGATTTTGACAACTGCTGTTTAATGTCACAATTTAGGGACATAATGGTAAACTCATGTCTCATCGATAATCATTGGTCGACGTATGAAATCATTTTTATTATTTGCAAATTGATTCAGATGGTGTCGGGAAAGTCTTACTCGAACTCGTTTATGATCTAATATTAACGAATGCGGCACCCACCTTGCAAATCTAGATCCTAATCTATTGTTCAAAATATGAATCATCTGTTCACTTATGTAGTTTTATACTAAGTCATTGTACATCATAGATATCTGTACGACTACGTTTAAATTAAGGAATCCGATTGATTGTGAAGAAGCAACACCTCCTGTTACATTTACTATATCAGTATAGCTTCCATCTCCGTTCAATCTACCTCTATGCAAGTATTTAATCAGTGCAGATTTTTGGAATTTCTCGATTTTCTACTTTAAGCAGTTGTAAAATGTTTCAGATTAACCTGAAACTGCTCATGTGTTCATAGGATGTGTCAGTAGCCAAGCTAAGCAATATGTTTTCTTACACCAACCCTTCCTGTGTATGAGTCCGGAAACTTTTCAAATCAACTTTGAGTATACGATGCAGGTAACAAGCACGTCTAGGCGTTGGTCCAAAGTTCTTCTGTGGCACACCTTTTACCGTCAACATCGATATTGTTGAAAATCTGTATGAATTCAAACCGAATCTAATAAATACCTCATTGTCCAATGAATGGCAAAGATGCACCTATGAAGTCAGAATGCACAAAGTAAACTACAAAGTCATTCACAAAAAAACGTCTTCAATCAATATCTAATGAGGCAGTCGAGACATACTGCTAGCGAATACGAAATTACCAAAATTTAAATACCAAGTGTTATTTTAAGAAACACTGAAATCTACTGTAGTTTTGCAATCATTCGAGTCATCCAAGGGAAATGAAAACAAATAAAGTCGTTCCAATGCCCTTGTACGTGATCAGCATGACATGGTATTTTTAAATAAAAAGCCGAATCCTAGCGATGTTTGAGGTAAAAAGTTAATAAAAGCATCAAGGACTTTAAAACCATTTATTTTGTTTTCAAGTTATAGGGTGTTGAAGGACTATTCCAATTTTTATTTTTTTCTCAATACCTTTTGAAATAAAGTTGCTATGTAGATGTAAATATTTTTTTTCTTCAGAAATCCTTTTCGCGCTTACTACGTATCACATTTTTCCGTGAAAAGGTGTATTGCTTTTTAAAATTCGCGTTAAAACTCCAAATGAACGGATCGCACAGCACTTCCGAGAAATCGTGAATCTTTACCCTAGTCAGGAGGAAATTTATACTGACGCATCCTAAATGAACGACAGTATAGGACAACTACCGGAATAACCACTATAAGGTTACCGTAGGAGCTAACCCTCCGAAGTGGCGAACTTTACGTATTTCTAGCTGCTCTTAATTATACAAGGTGTAAAGTTGGTAGTGGATCAACGGAAGTCAGGTGTTAGAGGGCCTCAAAACCTATCGAATGAACCCCTATATGTGTGGTCCGAAATTTTATAGTTCAGGAGATATTTGCAATTTTGTGAAATTTCGAAAAAAGCGGGATAATGAATCGCAATTACAACTAAATCATTAGGTTTAGGGCTAGGATTTTTTTCTGAGATGAGCTAAATGGTTAGTTTTAACAATGGTTATGTCACTTTTTAACAGAGCTTATTAGAAATCAACGCAAAATTCATTTTTTTGTGAAATTTTATTGCTAAAAACTATTTCAATCCATGTAGAATAAACCCTGAACATTTCAGCTTGCTACGATGAGTGTATCATGTCACATTCGTTGTTGTGATGCGATAAACGTAAGAAACGCAATAGAATCCCTAAATACAAGTACAGAACCAATTGTGTTTAGCCGCTCTTAATGGCGAGTTACCGACAAATTTGGAAGATAATTTAATTTAACTAAATTTTAAAGAATATGTTCGAAATGGCCTCCATTATTTTCTATACACAAGCGACACCTTCTAATACAATTGTCCTTTAGTCTTTGAAATGAATTTGAATTTTCCATAATTTTTATTTTTGCTCCATTTATTTTCCGGCGCAGTTGGTAGACGATTTAAATCGGGTGACATTGGAGACCATCATATGTGTCCACCTCTACCTATCCAACGCCCAGGAATGGCACTGTCTAAGTAATGCGAAATTCTGTGCTGGACCATTGCCTGACGCTCCCGCACCTGGAACGCCGAGTTGCCCAAGCTCATTAATCTGATTTGGCTATTTGCGTAAAACGTTCGCCATTTTGATTTTACAAAATGTTAATACACACAGTATCACTCGCACTGCTAGGACGAATCTAACAGTACCTCATATGTCAAAATCCATCAAGTCGTTTGAACTTCGTAAAATATAATTTCTTGTTTACATGTATAGATATACCCACATTCGTCAAACATACAGATTTTTTAAGGTGAGGCACTTATCGTAGCGAGCTGAAATTTTGAGGGCTCTTTCTAAATGGATTGACATAGGTTTTACAATAAAATGAATGATGAAATACAACCTCCATTTTTTACCACCCTCCAAAGTTGAGGGATGGAAGAGATGTTTCGCAAAAAATGAATTTAAGATTTTTTGCGTTGATTTCTAATTAGCTTTGTTTATTAAAAAGTGATATAAAAAATCACAGCCCTAAATCTAATGGTTTAGTTGTAATTGATGTGATTGAAAGTTCATTAGCCCGTTTTTTTCGAAATTTCACCAAATTGCAAATATCTCCTGAACTATAAAACTTCGGACCACACATATATATCGGTTCATTCGATAGGTTTTGATGCCGTCTATCACCTGACTCCCGTTGATCCACTACTAACCTTACGCCCTGTATAAAAGTTGCCCAAGCAAGCAGTTGGTTTGGTGATAACAGACTCTCTTAATTCGATAATGCTTTTGAACGACTTATACACGAAACACCCACTAAAATTAAATAAATTTTACACCATATTCTGATGCGTTTATTTGGGTTCCATCTGGAATCGGTGGAAACGAATTGGTAGATCAATATGCTAAAGAGGAACAGGAGGAGCAAGCATCATCATCGAAGCTGCTTGAGCTGAAGCCGAATTTTGGACCATGGGTAGTACTAACCTCCAATAGAAGACATCAAGTGCTGATAACCCGTTTCGTCTTGGCCACACAAGAACCACCCACTGATTTCCCATCGCAGGTGGACGGGAGACAAGATATGAACTTTGTGAGGTGCGTTTGACTGTGCGTAATGTTTTAGTGGAATGCCCTCCAATGAATTGTCAAAGAGCATCAAAAAATATTACTAATAACCTTAACAACATTATAGGCCCAAACTGCAACGTAGGTAATATTGTCAAATATCTTAACCCTTTCAAGGCATATTTTTAAATTTTTAAGCTATTTCATTTATAGCTGAAAAAAATGAAGTGATAAGATCTCAAAAGCATTAAAAATAGCCCAGAAAATTTTTCCATTTGTAGAAAAAGGAATTAGTAGGTGGTATCACCATGATACCACCAAGCACTAAAATAATACAATGCAGATATTACTGAACCATATATTTAATTAAGATAATGTTATAAAAAAGAGTTTGAATTAAAAACATACAACTTATTTGCTATGATATTTTTCAAAGCAATTTTTTTGGTCAGTGAGACACAAACCGACCTTGCAAGTACTACACGACCATCGCGAACGGTGTTGTTCCGCTTTTGTGCTGCAAAATGCACATCTTCTCGAAGACGAATGTTTTGGCATTTGAGCAGCTTGGTCTGTGCGCTTTTCTAGAGGAATGTTTGCTTTGAATTTGTTTGGGGGCATCTCAGTACTTGGTCTACCTCTTCGGGAAAACAAACCGATAAATGTCAAATAACAAGCTGTTAGGAATGGCGTCCTATGTAAATAATTTTTTTCATACTAGTTAGCAATATAGTGCACGGTGGTATCGGCAGATAACCACTCCGCAGCGCCGTGATAAATCATTAAAAAGGTGGTTTCATGGTGACACCACAAAGCTTGAAAGGGTTAAGGACATGCACGTGTTACACAGACTGTAAACAGAACGAGCTGCTAATATCCCAAAGGCTGATACAGCTTTTTTTTAATAAGAATTAGGTAAAAGAATCAGTAACTTGTACGACTTACCTCATTTTCATCGTCATCATTTCCTTGCTCAGGTACTACTTCAGGTCGTGAAGTAACAGGCGTTTGACTAGATTTTGTAGGTCTCTTGAGCACTGGCTTTTCTGTCGTAGTCGCTACTGGGGGTACGTAGCCATCACCTTGAGGAACCACGTTTCGGTTTTCATTTTCTGTCGGACCCACTGTTCGGTTTTCTTCTGGAAACGTACTTGGACTTTTGGATTCGAAGTCAGGTTTGGGATAGTTGGTTGGATTACCAAATGTTCTTGGTGTTCTTTGTGTCTGAGTTCCAAACTCAGAAGGGGGATAGCTATTTGGGTTATTTGATGGAGGACACTTTGGGTTTTCACCACCCAACGGAGGATTATTATTATCAAGAGGAGTCACAGATTTCACGTCAACCTTCTGAATGTCAACAGTTGTATGAGATCTTGGTCTTTCTTGTGTACTTCCCGGAAATATGTTCCGAAAATCTCCTTGAAAAGAATTTGAAATTGCAGTATTGCGTTCGAAGCCTTGTATGAAGTTTTGAGCATCCTTGACGGGCAAGTACTGTTGAGTCAGGTGATTTAAATTGCTTGGGTATCCTTGTTTGAAAGTTTGTGATTCTTTTACTGGCAGATATTGTTGAGATGGTAGGATGGATCGAAAGTTACCAGCTTCTTTTAATGGTAAGCTCTGTTGGAATCCCCCAAAATTTACAGCTTCCTTCACGGGCAAGTGCTGACTCGTAGATATTAAATTCGAAAACTGCTGAGCTTTGAGGCGCTCCAAAGTCTCTATTTCAGGGGTACGCGGTGGTACTCCATACGTCTGGTCAAGTGCTTTTTGAGGTAGTGGAGCGCCATTGAAAATATTTTGAGTTTCACTTGATTCACTTGGAGTTCCATATGTGGTTTGAGGCTGGCTTTGGATCTTGTTTGGGGCACCATAGTTTTGAGATGGAGTGACCTGAGAGCTTGGAGTCCCATACCCAGTGTGGGGTAAATTTTGTACACTAGGAGCTACATTTGAAAAACTAAATGCCTGTCTAGGCATTTCTAGAGGTTCGACTCGTAAATCCGGAGCTCCATATGTAGTTTGAGGTACCTGTATTTTACTAGGTATGCCATACTGTTGCGATGGGCTTACTTGTGGGTTTTGAAATCCAAAGGTTTGTGGTGCGCTTTGAACTTTGCTAGGAGCTTCCGACGCTAGATATGGAACTGTTTGATACTTGGATGGACCGTAAGCAGTTTGAGGTATCTTTTGGGCTTGGTTTGGAAGTCCGTAGATTTGTGAAGGGGCAATTTGAGCTGACAAAGGTCTGTAGGCCTGAGCGAGATTTTGTATCTGGTTAGGAGATACGTAAGTCTGAGATGGCACACTTTGATGTCTTGGAGGTCCATAAGCTGTTTGAGGTTGACTAGGTAGTCCATAAGCTTGAGAAGGAACCTTTTGAGGGGCGTTTGGTGGCCCATATGTGGTTTGTGGTTGACTGTGACTTGGCCTTTGGGCAACACCAGGTAGTCCATAAATGACTTGAGGTTGACTTTGAATTTTATTCGGAACTCCGTATGAAGTGGAAGGCGGTCTTTGGTAATTAGGTGGTCCGTATGTAGACTGCGGCTGATTTTTGAGCTTGTTGGGCAGATCATAACTGTGCTGTTGATCTGATGGTCTGAATGAGCTACCTCCATTGACTACTCTTCCGCTGCTGTACTTCTGAGATGGAGCTATGAAACTATGTGACAGTAAAGGCAGCAGAAGTGGTTGGTGTGGCCTAAACCCCCTTCTTGGGTATGGTGGTGGTACCTCGCATAGCACTAAATGAATAGTGCTGAGCAAAAAAATTGGAACCTGCAAAAGCAAAAAGGAGAATGTATATGACAGCTAATACCTATTTGTAAGATATTTATGACTAGATATAAGCAGGTATGCTCCACATTTTCGAATAACTAACTTTTGACAACAGCTTAATCAACTATCAAAGGACGAATGTGGTTATTCGAACAGCCCAAATGTGTATGAGTATTAACGAACCGTCTTAAGTTTGAATAGCCTTGAACCAGACATTTGAATTTAAATTACGATAAAATTGTTGTTTTCTAAGCCAAAAGTTCCAAAGTGAGTTTGCATTTCTACATGAGTATTTTTATATTCCTAACTTTACCTCAAATACATTCAAAGAGATCAAATAGTACAAACACAGGAAACAGATGGTTGTCGCTTTCAAAAATCAATTTTAGCTAATACGAGTATTTAGTTAAAATTTTTCGGTAACATCGAAAATACTTGGAGATGTTAACCAATGAGTGAAACAGTGGAGGAAATCACAAGTGTATACAACAAAGCGCAATCATTTCAGTGCAGATAAGATGCGTAGGTAATACTAATTACACTTCCGAAATATTATGCACCAAAAATTAATACACAAGTCACTATATTTCAAGAGAATGTATTATCCTTTATCAGGAATTTCTATGTTTACTTATTTAAAATGTATTACATGTCAAATAATGCATGAACCACAAATCAGCAGACTGTGTTAATTATTTTAGTATGTTGCTGAGAATATAGGAGATTAATTTTTATGTATAATAATTGTAATACTATACAGTGTTTTTCTAAACATCTGTCCCTCACTCGTTTTTTTTTATAAGGTCAAGCTGTCCAGTTGAAATTTGGAATGATGAAAGTTAAAGATAAGAAACTTCAAGTGGTGTATTATGTGACCATAACCTTAACCCCAACATAGTGCCTAGATGCCATCTTGGAACTATCAAATGTCACTTTTATATTAGAATATAATGTCTATACCGAAATCAAGTCGCTGAGTTGACCCATTCAAAAAGTAATTGGAGGGGGGTGGTGCATCAAGGAAAATCATGTTTTACAATTACAATGTAACATTTGTAATATCCAAATATACATATAAACGCTACTGCGTTAGCTTCAACATCCATTAAAGAGAGGCTTTACAACCCTGCTTGTATGTTTGAAGCAGGAGAACTATTATAAAACAAGTATTCTATAAATAAACTAAAGTAGTTAAGTCTTAAGCAGTGATAACTCCATCAAAAATCAACGTAATAATACGAGTACTAGTAATACGTGAATTCAGGGTGGTCCGTAATGAGTGCGCTAAAAAGCGATGACTGGTTAAACTTGTGAAAATAATGATATTGTGCCAATCAAGCTTTAGTGAAATTTCCAAAATCGATTTTTCTTTATAACGCAAGCTGTTTCTGTGATACCAACATGAAAATTGGTAATAGATGATTTCCAAGGACGATGAACCCGCTGGTATTGTATTTACAGCATATTACGTAAAGGGTGCTATTTACAACTCATAATCTTGCTATTTGATGCCATAACCTTTTTAATGTTACCGTTAGATTATGTTTTCGTCAAACAAGTAGAAAACTTACTTAACGTAACATCTGAAACTTATCCTGTGAACAGACGAACATGGGGGATTAACGTACTTTATGTTTATTTCGTTAAACAAACCATTTTTGCGATATCTTCATCAAAACATTCCTTTGTCAAATGACAATTATGAAAAGAGAGAAATATGTTATGAACGAGAAATACACGAAGTTACGTAAACAACATAGCCGTGTTCCCCATTCACGAAGATCCTGATTCTCAATTTTTTCCATGTTGTATAAACGGTTTTGAAATGTAAAGTTCAACGCTCTGTATCTCGTGGCATTCTACTAAGGCATATTTGACTCAAAATCATTATTTTCAGGAGTTCAGTATTTTTTTTTTGGCTTAAGGTCGACAAATCTCAATAACATATTCAGCATGTTTTATTTTGTGGTAAACTTTTCCTGTTAAAAATGTCGTGTAGTAGGTTGACTCTGCACTTCCCTCACAACGTTGTCATTAGTTTATAAAAGAAACTCGGATAGACCCATACAGGTAATCCCCAGTTCCCACACGTTTGACAATGATGTCTCGGCTCTTACCATCTGACAACTGTAGGACCGGAATTCGGATTAGTAAACCGCCAGCGGCAGAGGCCAGCTCACGATAGCTTTATTTTCATTGTGGTCGACGCGGGTATCGAAAACATCTCTATCATGTTAAGCCTTATGGGCAAATAAAAGGGGACATTTATATGTGAAATATGTCTAATCGGTGCACAGAATTACTAGGGTTAGAGCCGTATCATCTTAGCGTCAAAACATCGAGATCACCACCCATTTTTTTATTCCTGAAGACAGCGTGGGAAGTAAAATGTATCTATACTAAGCGACATATAAATCCGAACACCCAGTTTAAATGGTTTTATTTTAATAAAATTTTGTATAAGTACTTAATGAAGCATAATAAGTAAATGATAAAAATTTCAAAATGATTGCACTGCTTTAAAGCCCTTTGACCTTTAATAATGTGTGGATGCACCCTTATGTGCTACGCATTCTCCAACGCGCCTAGGCATGCTTCTGATCAGGTGGTCAATGTTCTCCTGTGGTATCTCATTCCAGCCAACCACCAACTCCTCTCGAAGTGCTTTTAGAGTCTGAGGAGGACGTTGCAAATTGAGCAATCTCCTACCCATCATATCCCACACGTGCTCAATTGGGGATAAGTCGGGAGATCTTGGTGGCCATGGTAACAATGTGACATCATTCTGTTGAAAGAAGTCTATTGTGACTCTTGCAACATGTGGTCGGGCATTATCTTGTTGGAAAGTTGGATCTGCCAGGGTGTCAAGATAGGGTAAAAGATGGGGTTCTAGAACTTCGTGGATATAACGCTGCGCATTCATGTTACCTCTGATGAAGATTAAAGGTGACCTGGAACCATAAGCTATAGCACCCCAAACCATAGCTCCAACAGTGTGATGAACATGTGTTTCAACAAAAAACTGTGGATTCCTCCTTTCACCACGTCGCCTTCTAACACTGGCACGACCATCGTGCATGCCTCAACAAAATCGAGACTCGTCACTAAAGACAATACTGTTCCATTCCTGATCCCAGAGTGACCGTTGTCTGCACCACTCAAGGCGATTACGTCGGTGTCCTCGAGTTAAAGGGAGGACCCAGTGTGGCCGGTAAACTTCTCATTCGTCGGTAAACACTTCGCATGCCAATAGGTCTTCCGTGTTCTGCAAACCATTCATTTGCAATGGACCTGGTAGTGGAGAAACGGTCCCTTAAGGCCAATAATCTTAGGCGGCGATCTTCACGGTCTATTGTTCTACGGCGGCGTCCAGTGCCCCTTGCTCTTTGCGTACGGCCTTCTCGACGCCATGCCTGACAACACCTAACCACAGTGTCTACACTTCTTTGCACTCTATGTCACTTAGTATATTAGGAATAATAAATTATATTAAAAATGAGATACTAATTAATGCTAATCTTATACTAATATTTATAAATAACACTGTTGTTTTTAAAAAATGTAATGCGCATCGAAAGCGAAAACATTACTCTTACCTTCATTGTGCGTGCTGTACCGACCCCCGAGAAGTGTCACTAAAGCTCGACCGCCAACAATATGGGCATTTATATAATGTGGATAGACGATTTGTATGCGGATAGGGGCTCCCGTCAATACATACGTGCTTCTTCGACTGTTATAGGCCAGTACGACTAAATACTGTACAGCGAAAGTTCTATCACAACCAACGAATCCTGACTAGGAAGAAGGAACAAATTTATGATTTGTTTGTCTTTGAAGTATCATAGTCTGTAGACAGGATGGCAGTTGATACTTCAAGTCTATAAGGCTTTAAGGCACTAGTTTCTGCGAAAACATAAAAGTGCGTAGGTTTCATATCGTCCTAGTGTTCCAGATAATTGTTGAAGGTTTCTGTGGAGGACAAGAAATCATTTAGACCGAATAATCGTCTGACAAGTGTTAATATGGTATATAGTAATCAGCTCTGCGAAAGGGCATGTACCTCAACGTTGGGCCTGGTTAGTTGTGAGGTTATTTTGGTTTAATTCAGGCTACTTGTTTATTTGAGTACTCACTCCCAATCTAAGGTTTATTAACATATCTATAGTTGTAGTCACCGTTCTTGGCGGATCAAAGTACGACTACAAATATCCCTTTATACATCTCCATCTCCCTCATACATACACATGCAACCTTCCCCTGTGTGTGAACATTTGAAAGAGATACGTTTTTTAGTTGTGTGTCTCCGTCTCGAAAACTTTGTCGTTACGTATGAGTGCCTTTCAATCATATTTTCCAAAGTGACAACTTACTTGAGATCGGCGTGCAATTTAAGTTGTCATATTATCAATTTTTAATGTAAAATTGTACAATGCCCGGAAATAAGATCAATGGAGAAACCCGGCAGCTCGAGCTAAATTTATTAGAGTATTTCCAAGAAGAGAATGAAAACAGCGGTCCTCTGTTATCCACTGCATGCGTATTGGAGAGAGTAGTAGATGCTCTGAAGCTTAAGATCCGCCCATGGTACGGAGGCTCGATCTGTTTATTTATTTCATATGGCGTTGATGACGTAACCGCCAAGAACGGTGACTACAACTATAACAACAACATTGAAAAATGAAAATTATTGGAGACAAACCAAATTTTTTGGTGGATACTGAAGAGGTCGAACTGAAACATAAACTTTGAGTCCTTTCTACTTCAATTTTGTATCTGAAGGTTCTTTTGAAAGGTCTTTATTTTCACGTTTTAAATAGTAATTTTATTGCTACTAGATTCTAGTGAGGAAAAAACTATGAATGTCAAATTTGTTAAGTCACTTCTAAATCTCTTTATTGAATAAATATAGTGAAAATTTCACAATAATATAATAAAATAATAACAATAATTCCCATATTATGATCCACTGTTTGCTTTTTACCTTCAATTTGCTACAAATAATTACTCGTGTATTTTTCCCAGAGTGCAGTTTTCGTAAAAATAAAAAAAAAACAAATTTGATAAAGATTTATTCCAATAAATGTTCAAAAAGACCACCATTCTGATGGATACAAGTGCGGCATCTTTTCAATAAAGAAAAACGTATTTTCGCAAAATTTATTGTGGCTTGAATTTGATAAAACGCATCATCTATTATTTCTTGTAACTGATCAACAGTGTTAATTTGTTGAGATAGTTGCTCAAAAGCGTGCCCACAAAACGAAATCCAGGGAGTTCAAATCAGGAGACCTCGCACGCCAATGTACGGGTCCGTTTCTGCCAATCCATCGTTGTCTAAAATGATTATTCAATCATGCGGCTATGTCACGACGAACATGTGGTGGGGCACCGTCGCGTCGTGCTGATATCACATTCGTACTGTGGTTGCTAACGGATCATCATCTAACACATATCGCCGGGTTACTGCTAAGACAAGATCAGCACATTTTTGTCATTTTTGTGTTAAGTATCTGAAATGGTATAATCTGTGTCAGATATCTTCATATTAAGAGGAAGAGAGTTTTACACGTGTGTAACAAATACGTTAAATGCAACATGAGACCGTTAAAGACAGCTAAAACAAGACATGTGCACTTGCGACCAAAAACATTGAAATTATCGTACGACATAGGTAGTTTTCTAAGAGCAAAAATCAGTCATAATGCAGTTATCTCATTTTACCAGTTTTGTTCTAGTGCTGATGTAAGAATTTTAGAGTCAGAATAAAATAAGTACCACATGTCGGTTGTTCCAAATAGATGGTACTTACTGGTCCCTTCCAACTAAGCAATTTGCTGGCGCGTGTGGCCAGCGCTAAATGGTAAGAGCGGTAACAATTACATAAATCAGCCATCTTCTGATGTCACCAAACTATCGCTGTTTTCGGACACGTGTAGCGGTCAAAATATTAGTACTCTTCTGCTGTACAAAGTCCAAATTAACGCAAATATTTAAATAATGGTGCAAAAGTTTTTAGGAACTGGGCACAGCTATATGGAAGTCGAGAGTATGCACAGTGCAATTGAAAAGGCGCAGAAGCTAGTTCCTGTTTATAAAATCCAGGACTGGTTGACAACTTTCCACATGGTCAGAACGTCAAGATTGAATAAAAAACCGTATAACGTTAAATAGTTAAAGTATAAAGATTTTTTAGATTTAGAAAACATCAAAAATTCTAATGCAAGATAAATTGAAGAATACCTCGGGCAAAAAGGTTTACTGGCTTAAAATCAAGTGTTCCAAGTATACTAAGTCTAAGCCTTGGATATTAGGTCGATCATACGTCCGATTATTAGGAAATAAACGTTTTGGGTAAAGGACGACCTATACAGCCAAGCCAAATTAAAATAACAAATGCGTTTAGAAAAATTTGAAAGATTTGCCTAAACTTTGTAAAAGTAATGTTATTCCTGAGGAATACCATTCTTATTACAAATCGCCTCCGAATAACAAATAAGCAAATGATGTCATTCCAGGACCGGAAGCGGAGGATTCTGATCCCGAGAAAGAACCGGCATATGAAGAGTCAAATAGCTAAGGTATGAAAATGTATATATCCAAAAAAAAGACAAGTGCAAGAAAAATGGGTTTTTTGTTAATAGGTAGTTAGTTTTCCAAATGTTATGATTATTTTAATTACTGCTTTGTTAAGACATCCATTAAGAATTTAGTTTGTGAATAAAAAAGTATTCAATTTCTTTGTTTGACTTTTAATCTAACAACAAAGTTTAAAATCCTCATATTTCAGAAGTATAAAAATGCAAGTTATCTGGTTCTGGCATTAACCCGACGATATAGAATTATCTAGAAAAGCTACGAATGAGTTTGTATTTAAACGTTGTGGCAATACGTGCATAAACAGTTGGCCATTGAAAATGCCGCACCAGACATTTCTAGAAAATCTGTGTTGAAACAAGTGGATTATTACAGAACGGGGATTTTCTAACGACCAAATATATGTTCATTATGAGAATTAAAGGTTCCACTACTCGTAAAAAGCGATTCATCTGATCACAAAACCAAATCAATAAAATCGGCATTTTGATTATGCACTGACAAAAACTTTGCCGGAGCATCTCGTCGCCGACATTGCACATTTTGCTGATGGTAAGGATATAAAACTTCCCGATTTAAAATTGTCCACGCAAGACTTTTGAACATGGTAACTGGGCTGCAATCCGCCTAGTACTTGTACTAGGATCATCTAACGCCAAATCAATCACTTCCAGTTCCTCTTGAACAGTATGCCGGACACCATGACCTCTAACTCCGAGAAGTTTGGCAATTCCATATTGCCGATGTCTGAGAAACGAGCGCGTAGAAAACTTTGGGGTAGGTTGGCGTCTGATAGGAAATCTGCGTTGATACTCCCGAGAAACCGCTAAATCATTTCCATTATAGAACACGTACACAAAAATAATATCGGTGTACTTGTCACTGCTAAAGTCCCTTTCAGAACACAAAATGGAAAACAGAAAATATGACTTGACTTTTGAAGAAAAAGTCGTAGTAACGATAACAACCGTATAATACATAACTTTGACAAACTATCTCCCAAGTGTAAGAGATGATATCAAGAGATGATAATAGAAATATAAGCGTAAAAACAACAATTCCACCTTACAAGCGTTCGAAGTACTACCCTGTACCTTTTCACTTTTATTACAAGAGTAGTACATACACAACTTAACAAGGGCTTCAATGTCAGGATAATTTTAAAGCCACTTACTTGGTGACGTTAACGACAGGGGAGTTGTTTTCCTTGGCGAGAGATACGGTAGATAGAACTGGGTTTTCGGGGCCAAGCCTATTTTTGGGAAAAACCTTTTGAGTACCTTCCATATTCTACCGACTCATGTCTACTGTCCATTCATTATGTTAATTAGCTGTCTCAATACTGATCACAAAACAATATAATAATGGCCATGAAATTTCTCAATTATATTATTATAAATTACAATACATTGCATGGGGGAACGGTAGCATCCTACCGCATGGAAGTCACACCCATGTCCATAACGAGGGGAACGGTAGCTTCCTACCGCATGGAAGTCACGCCTGTTATGGAAATATAATACCTCGCACGGGGGAACGGTAGCTTCCTACCGCATTGAAGTCACGCACATGTCCATGATCAGGGGAACGGTAGCTTCCTACCGCATGGAAGTCACGCCCGTGTCCATACTCGGGGGAACGGTAGCTTCCTACCGCATTGAAGTCACGCCCGATATGGATACCTTAATAATTGGTGCTTAGACAGATATGCCAAGTATTTGATTGTTACGAAAAGCAGCCCAGAAGTCAGGATATCATGTTGCCGTGTCAATACCCAAAAGCTCCGACGTTACCTCTGATTGAGATATAACCGAGCAGCGTACAACTTTAAGTAACAATCCCTATGCACATCTTGCCATGAGATACTTTCAGACTCCTGCGATTGCCTCGAGAAGTACCTAGGCGGTCACACAGACCCAGGATACCACGCCGGCCAATGGCCGTTGTGTCAAATACCCAATACGCTCCGACATTTCCTCTGACAGAAGAAACCGAGCAGTAATTCCCCAGATGGCAACCCGGCTTTGTAGGTCGCATAACAGCCTCCA